CAGCATCACCATATTGATAACCATAACCATAACCATGACCATAACCATATCCATATCCATAACCATCACCATCAGCATCACCATATTGATAACCATAACCATGACCATAATCATATCCATATTCATAACCATCACCATCAGCATCACCATATTGATAACCATAACCATAACCATGACCATAATCATATCCATATTCATAACCATCACCATCAGCATCACCATATTGATAACCATAACCATAACCATGACCATAACCACATCCATATCCATGACCATCATCTGTATGGGGTCTCTATGGGGTCTCTATGGGATCTGCTTGGAGTGTCTATGGGGTCTCTTTGGTATCACAAAGGAGTCTCTACAGGGTCTCTATGTACCTTAGTGGGGTTTCAGTGGGTCTCAATGTGATCTCATTGCAGCCCAGCTGCACCAGGCCGTGTGTCAGCAGCTCCGCCAGCGCCGTCTGTCCTTCCCCACAGGCCTGATGGCGGCCTCCAGACACCCAGAGGGGGACTGATCCTCATCTGCAAGGCCTCAGGGTCCACCATCAGCAGTTATTCCATGTATTGGGTGCGACAGGCGCCCGTCAAGGGGCTGGAATACGTCGCCACTATTAGCTACACTGGTAGTTACACATACTACGGGTCGGCGGTGAAGAACCGTGCCACCATCTCGAGGGACAACGGGCAGAGCACGGTGAGCCTGAAGCTGAACAGCCTGACGACCGACGACACCGCCACCTATTACTGCGCGAAAAGTGCTTACGGTTGTAGTTGGGCTGGTAGCGTTAATTACACCGGTGTCACTCCTGGATTTGGTGGCATCGCCCAGGGCCCTGGTTGAGAGATCAGGGCCCAGGTGATGGAGCTGGGCTCAGAATGGGCAGAACTCGGCCCAAATTTGCAGCACTGAGCAAACAGGGATGGAGCTGGTGACAGAATTTTGCTTAGAAGGGGTGGGGATGGATGTGATGATACCACTGAGACCCCATAGAGACCCCATAGAGACCCCATAAAGACACCATAGACATCCCACTGAGACCCCATAGAGACCCCATAGAGACCCCATAGACATCCCATAGACACCCCATAGACACCCCATAGAGAGCCCATAGAGACCCCATAAAGACACCATAGACATCCCACTGAGACCCCATAGAGACCCCATAGAGACCCCATAGACATCCCATAGAGACCCCATAGACACCCCAAAGACACCCCATAGACACCCCATAGAGAGCCCATAGAGACCCCATAAAGACACCATAGACATCCCACTGAGACCCC